AGGAAAGGTACTGTTATTCACATGCAGGGCCTGAGTTCTGACATTTGGATTCAGCCTCCAATATTGAATGTCTGAGGATTGTTCCCACACAGAAAATGTGAGATCAGAAAGCTATTGTTGTCTTTTACCTTCACTGTGCAGTCATCTGAAAACCATCAGCAGGATTATCTGTTTGCCTTCCCAAGGAAAGGTACTATCATTCATGTTCAGGAGCACAGTTGCAGCATTTGGAGCCATGCTCCAATATGGAATACTTCCAATGATTATCTAATTATCTAACACAAAATCATGTAGGGCAGAAACGTCTTTGTGGCCTTTACGTCCCCTGGGAAGAATAACTGCACAAGAGACAGTGGGTTATATCCTTTCCTTCCCATGGAAAAGCATTTTAATCCTCTTCAAGAGTCCACCACCTTATTTTGGACACAACATTCCAGTATCCAAGGATGGATATATGACACAAAATACGTCAGGTCAGAAAGCTCTTGCTGGATTCTACCTCTCTGGGGCAGCATGTAATCTACGCTTTAAACCATGGGTCTAGGTGTTTTCCTTCCCCTGTAAATGTGCTTCATTCATCTTTAAGGAGCTCATCACTGAAATTTGGATACCACCTCCAATACTGAATACATCCGAGTGCTCCCACACAAAATGTGGACAGATGGGTCTTGCTGGCTGTTATGAATGCACTCTATTTATCACACTGGCCTTTACCTCCAATGGACAAAGCTCCTGAAAGAAAATTAGTGCTTTACTATGGGAAGGAAACCATGTAGCCCCAGTGGTTTAGGTACAGATTACAGGCAGCCCTAGGGGGATAAAGATCAGTGAAAGTTTTCTGACCTGGCAGTTCTTGTATGAGAATAATCCTTGGGCATATATAATATTGGAGGTGGTATCCACATTTGAATGATGAACTCCTGGATAAGAAGGATGAGATGGTCTTTTCCATAGCAAAGAAAGGAAAGCATGTAGCCCCAGTGTTTGCGGTGCCGATGAGAGGCTGCACAGAGGAGTTAAAAGCCAGCCATGACCTATCATGGCACCTTTTTGGTAGGAGCAATCCTCGGACATAATATTGGGAATGTAATCTAATTTGAGTAATAAGTAAAATCTCTGTATATATTCAATTAATTACACTTAAAACTGAAAAGCATGTGTGATGTAGAATGCATGCTCTAAGTTACCATACTTAATAGCTTAAATAAAAAGTGACTCCACCTGTAGGTTGAACTTGTTAATGTGTGAACCAAATTTGGTTCCTGCTGGCAGTGATTGCTCCTGCAAGAAGGATGAGCTGTCCTTCAATGGTTAACTTGATCTTCACTGGAAGTGTGCTGGAATCATTATTGATATCATTCCTGGAAAGAAAAAATAATATGAGACTTGGCAGCATTAGCCTGGACAGGTTAGCCCTTAGTGGGTCAAGTTGTTTAATCACTCAGACTAATGATAAAAGTCCTTTTTCCCACTTAGAATCTCTCTGTTCCATCTCTTTAAATGTTGTTGAGTTGAATAGTGAATATTTCATTGGTCTTTAATGATGTTAGGCCTTGACATTCCTCATGAAGAATCTCAACCTCTACTTATGAAGTGCTTGCCTACTGCTATTGCTGCTTCCCATGTTTTCAGGGAGGTCTCCTGCAATTTGAGTTGTCCTCCATGAGTAGGGTGCTCTCCTAATTTGAATTATCAGTTCTGCAAAGTTTAGTACAGCAGTACTAAATCACAGTTTAGTGATTGTGGTATTGGCATTCAACTGCCTGTAATAAACTGTAAGCCACAACTGTCTGTTCAGCTCTTTCGTGATCCAGACCCTGAGACTGGCTCGGTTGCTCTGAGCATGGTGACCATAACACCACAGTTGTTGGTTTGATCTCTTATGGCCCATTCATCTAACAGTTGGACTTGATGATCCTTGTGGGTCCCCTTCAAATCAGAATATTCTATGATATGTGACATAATGGCAATGCCAACAGCAAACATTGGCTAAACACTGGCAACCTCTGTGAGACTGGAGTGTGTTAAAATGATCACTGGCCACTATCTCAGACAGGAGTGATAGGAGTGTGACTGACTGATAGTAGCTTTTTTCTCTAATTCTGTCACCACCCCATTAATGCCAAGCACACCAGTGCTTATATTGTGGCTGCCAGGTTTGCAGTATTGGGTACTTCAACTGTTAGCAGGGCCAAATTGACCAGACCGTCAGAAATCCCACTTCTCCCTGCAGCAAAAATCCAGCACTGGAATACACTAGCAGTCCTTGGATCAGGGAGTGCAAGTGCCATGTGGAGTCAGCACAGTCTCTGGCCTCCTTTTAGGGTTCAGGCTAATGTTCAAACATTAACATTGACTCACTGCCATCAGGCAGGCAACAAATTTGATCATTTAGAACATCAAAACCCCAAATATTGTCATTGTCATCTTTGATTGCAAAGCAATCTGCCGATATCCACTTCTTATCCAGGAACCATAAATTAACTGTAGCAGATTGGCAGATAACATTTGCTCCGTTTACTTCAGTGATTTTAACTCTTGGAGTCTGGGTCATACACTCAGCTATTTGACTCAGTTAGTACTGAATGTTGTACTCCTGTATCTATTAGAAATGTAATTAATTGTTGACAAAAACCAACTGGAATCTGGATGTATGGTCATTAGTACATATGTATTGAAAGGGTTCCACTTGTTGGATTTCAGTCTCACTTGGCTTGTGCCTGGAATGCTTTTGCAAATCAGCCACCTGAATGGACTCTGTACAATGTGGTGAATTGGCAGCTTGCTTAAGCCTTTGCCTTTTCTTTCAGTTTTCATATTTTCTCTTTTTCTTCCTGGAACTATTTCTGCAACTGTTCCTTTCTCAGTAACAGAGATAATTCAGCTGCTTTCTTCCTATTTCCTCTCTCAGATCTTTTCCCTATTAAAATTATCAGATAATTGTCTTTCCTTATACTCTGCTTAGTCCTTACTTAGGGTCCTAAGATAGTCTTTCTCAATCATAAATTTATCAGCTTGGATTCTCAGTTTTTCTCCTGTCTCCATCTCAGAAACCAGTGGTGACTTTGATACCTCATTTTCTGTATCAGTCTTATTTTTGGCGAGCCATCTTAAATGTTTGCAGCTGCCAGCCCCCAGTTCACTCACTGAGGATGGTGAAAGTTGTTTCTAAGACTCCAATAAACAACATTAGCCTGTGGGGCTGTAGTAATGATAGGTCACGTCTCTCAGGAATTCCAGCTCTCATATCCACATCCTTTTTCTGCCTGGGACAAGGGAGTGCAAATTTTCTTTTCCCCAGCCACTCCATTCCAGGCACTACATTGTCGAGAATAGCAATGGATAATTTATCTCTTCTCAAGAAATTCCTTTCTGCAAGCCTTTCACTCACGCTGCATTCCATTGGGCACTGGGACCCTGCTCCTCCCTTTTGGGTAGTCCACTTCCTTGCTGCAATTCCAGTCTCCTGATTGTTGTGCTGTTTATTAATCATTCAATGAAACCCATCTTTCTGCCATAGTTAATTAGTCCCTAAGATCTCTCTCCCCATGTTAAGGGTCTTTTCCCTTGTCTTCCTCTCTGTGGGGTTAACCCTTGCCTCAAGTGATCCTGTAATTCTGCCACACTGTTTTATCACATCCAGCAAAACTCTGTGAGCTGCATACTTGGATAACCAGTGATGTAGGTGAGGGCTGTCCTGGAACATGTCATTCATCAGTTGCAAACATGCTTCCTTTTGTACATTCTCTGTCCCGTGATCTATGGCTGGGGTCTTGATCCTAAGCAAATCATCCCTCTCTAATGGATCCAACCTTCTGCCCTATAGGTGGCACTCTGAGTTAAAGACCAAAGTTTTCTCTGGTCACCCACCAATAAAGTACTTCTGGCCCCCAGAAGCCCTGGGCCTTTGCCTCAGACAAATGATTCAATCACCCTCTGCCAGAGGCACTATCCAAACATATCCAGTTTCCAATTCCAATGTAAGTCTGCCATACTTTTCCTGGAACTTTGCTATCTTGGCTGCTGTGTAATGCACTGTTTTAGTAACAGTTTGTAGACCCTACTATTGAAGGTTTCATCTTTAATTAAGGGTTATAACATGATTTCCTCATCATCAAATGTACTGCTGTTTATAGTGTTGTTAGACAGTGGACTTTAGTCAAAGCAATTTTCTGTCCTGTCCACAATTTGAGTCAACTTTCTTTGAGGGTTCAGTAATAAAAATATTCCCCACCAAGCTCATCACCAGCATGTTTGGGGGAAAAAGAGGGCTGAGGGGACCCCAAAACTGGGGGGTATCCCAAACCAGGTGAGTGGGAGCTGAGCTGGGATTTTAGGGGGGGATATTTGGGGTCTCTGAGGTTTGCAGGGCTCAGAGGGTACCCTGAGGATGGCCGGGATGGCCAGGTTTGAGGGGATTTGGGGTCCCAGGGTAGGTTTTGGGTTCTGAGGTTTGGGAGGCATCTCCAAGGCATGAGGAAAGGGGGGATTTGGGGTCCCCAGGGCAGGGTTGGGGTTGGGTGGAGTCCGCTCTGGGGTCGCTCCCGCGCCCTCAGGCGCAGGCACAGCAGCAGCCAAGCAGCAGCGGCAGAAACAGAACCCTCGGGAGCCCCACTCGTTAAGTACGGCCCCAAGCCCCACCCCATGGAGGGGACCCCGCTGAAGCCCCACCCTTACAGGCCACTCCATATTAATGGTGTATCTAAGCCCCGCCCTCCACAGGCAGCCCTACCCACTTTCAAAACACCTCTAAGCACCGCCCCTAAAGCTCTGACTGCTCAGAAAGCAAACCAACTAAGCACCGCCCCCTAGGTGACCCCCCCCCACTATCAATGGAACCCCTGAAGCCTTAAGACTTTCCTGGTCCCCATCCCAGGTGCTCTCACCCAAAATACTCCCAGAGCCCTCCTCCCTGTGGATTCTCCTCCCCTCCAGAGCTCTCCACTGGAATACCTCACCCCCAAATCCCCTCCATCCCTCCTGGCAACAGCACCTAGGGGTCACAAACATTTATTCATTTATTGGGGTGCAGCAGAACTGGGTCTCCAGTACGGTGGAGGTCCTGGGTAGTTCCCCCAGAACTAGTATTCTGGTGAGGAGGTCCCAGGGGACCATGGGTAGGGGTCCTCAATAATCTGGGGGATGCTGGACTAAGGAAGGAAACCTCCACCCTGGGATGGGTCCTGGAAGGGGTTGATTTGGATCCTGAGGTGGGGGTCCAATAGGGGGGAGTCTGTGGGGTGGGTCCACGTGGCAGTTCCTGGGGAGGTGGATCCCAAATCTGATGAGGCATGTCAGGACAGGGCCTCAGTTTGGGAGACCCCATGGGGGTGGGTCCAAGCATGATGGTCCCAAAGGAGATCCCAGTAAGATTAGAGGTGTGAGATTGTCAGGAGAGAGTCCCAGGGTGGGAATCCTGGTACAGGGGTCTGGGGGGGTTAAGCCTCTGTGCAAGGGCTCAGGGGGGTCTCCATTCAGATGCCACCCCCCTCCACTCCCCGCAGACGCCGAGCCAGCTGCAGATCTTTGGGGAACAGGGTGACTCGACGGGCGTGCAGTGAGCACAGGTACGCGTCTTCCAGCAGCCGCACGATGAAGGCCTCTGCTGCCTGTGTCCCAAAACCTGAGGGAGGGTCCCCAAAATCCCCCAGCATGCCCCAACCCCCACAGCTCCCCCTGGGGGCAGCAACCCCCCAAACCCACCCACAGGCAACTGGGAGACTGAAACACACTGTGCCTCTATATGTGTGAGGGAGGACCAACACTGTGACCCATCCCCATTCCCTGACAAACCCCAGGAAAAACCCCAGGTCCCAAAACCCTGGGACTGCCCCCAGAACCCAGAGGTCTCCCAGAGACTCTCTCAACATCCATGGAACACTGTCCCAGAACCCACAGACCCCCCTGCAGTCCATGGTGACTTTCCTAGACTCCCCCTCAGCTCCCATCAGACACTCCCAACAAACCTCTCGACCCCATCCAAGCACCCAGAGACCTTCCTGGACCTCCCCAGCTCCCCAGAGACACCCCCAGCATCCACAGGCCCTCCTGCAGAACACCCTCCCCCAACCCCTATGGAAACCTTCTCAGCACCCATGAGATCCCACTCAGTCCCCCTCCCCATCCCCTTAAGCCCCCTGGACACCCATAGGACCCCTCCAGCCCCTCTGTGACCCCCCCCTCCACCACGCCTGGGTCCCCAGACACCTACCTCCTGCAGCGCCAGCAGGGCCATGCGCTGCCAGCGGTAATCAACCCCGCGGGTGAAGAGTAGGCAGAGCTCCCGCACCTGCAGAAGGGGAGGGGAGCACATGGGGGCATTGGGGTCACAGGGAGTAGGGGGGACAACAGGACAACATTCAGGGACTATGGGGGCATCACCCCTGGCTGGGGCCGCCACCCTAGAAACACCCTGAAGACATGGAGACACTGCCCTGGGGACATCTCAGGGACCTGGGGACACCCTTGTCACCCTGGAGACACTTTGGGGACACCCCAGGGACAGGAACACTGGGGACAGGAACACCTGGGGATACACTGGGGAGTAAGGATGTGGGAACACCATGATGGGGACACCCTGTTCAGACCTCAGGTGCAAGGCAGGGGGGAAGCACCACTCTGGGAACATCTTGGGAAGACCCTTAGGCATGGGAACACTGTGACACTCTCCTGGAGACACCCCCATGGGACAGGGGGACAGTGCCAGCACAGGGGGAGGGGCACCGGGAACACCCAATCCATGCAGCTTCTGAAGGTGGTGGGACACAAGGATGTCTGGAAACACAGGACACTGGGGGGCTATGCAAGAATGTTGATGGAGGCTCACCATGTCATGAGGATGGGGAGGACATGGAACAAGGACAAGGAGTACAAGGGCTGGAACAGGATTGAGGGTGGGGCCTGGGGGAAGAGGATAGTCCTGAGGAGTCCCAGGGGGTGATTTGGGGTTTTGGAGGGGTCTGGAGGGAACTAAAGAGTCCCAATGGGTGTTTGGGATAGGGCCCAAGAGGAGGTTGGAGTCCAGGCTGAATTTCAGGGGTCCCAGGGTGGATTTGGGGGTTGGATTTGAAGGGTCCTAGGGATTGTTTGAAGGGTCCCAGTGGGTATATGGAGGAGTCTTGTGGGGAGCTGAAGGGTCCCAGGGTGGATTTGAAGGCTCTGCGGGAGGTTGCAGGATCCAAGAGGGTTGATCTGGGGTGTCCAGGAATGGATTTTGGGATCCCAGGAGTGGGGATCCAGAGTAGTCTGGGATATCCCAGAGAATGCTGGAGGTCCTGGGTGGATTTGGGGGAGTCCTGGAGGGACTTGGGAGTCCCAAAGTAGATTTTATGGATATCTGAGATGATCTGTGTGATCCCAGGGGAGTTTGGGAGTCCATGGGGGATGCTGGGGAGGCTCTGTGGGGGAAGTCAGGGTGTCCGGGGATTTTGAAGTGCAGGAGTCTTCATTTTGGGATGTGGGGGGCGGGTTCTCACCACACGGGCAAAGGGGCCGGGGCGCAGAAGCAGGCGGGTACTGCTCTGGTACATGCGGATCTCTTGCAGTGCTCGCTGACCTGGACGGCGCCCTGGGGGACATTGGATGGGGTCTGTGGTGGCTTTAGGAGATATATAGGGCCTGGGGAGACACAGGGGGAAGCTGTGGGGGAAGCTTATAAAGGATCTATAAGATCTGAGGGGACATTGCAGGTATGAGGGATCTATAGGCAGCTACAGTGATGGCTGATATAGGGGAGTTATAGGGGATGGGGAGTATGAGGGGTTATAGGGAACAGAGTATAGGGGGCTATAGGGGAGTGTGGGGTGATGGAAGCATATAGGGGTACATAGGACACAGACTGGGGGAGGGGTAGAGCAATGGAGGGGAGGGTCCATAAGGGGAGCTCTATAGTGGGGTTCACAGGAGTGCTCTGGAGGGGCCTAAGTGGGCGTTCGGTGTGGGAAGGCCATAGAGTATATCTATAAGGGGAGTCCCCCGCCCTTAACTCACTGCGTGCCCGCGGCCGGGGCGGTGGGGGAGGCG